TCTTGTGATTATCTCATAGTTCTTGCCTTCCTCCACTGTCTGGAAACCAGATGCTTAAATATCATTGTATGGCCATCACCCAAAGCCAACAACATCAAGCTAATGAAATTGCATCAACAACCTAATGTTACACCTCAAGGAGCTAGAAAAAGAGCAAAGTAAGTCAAAACTTAGAAGAAAGAAGAAAATAACAAACATTAGAATAGAAATATATAAAATAGAGACTAGAAAAGCAATAGAAAGAATCGACAAAACTATAAGTTGGTTCTGGAAAAGATAAACAAAATTGACAAACTTTTAGCCAGATTAACAAAAAAAGGAGAAGACATTATAACTGATACAACAGAAATTCAATGAATCATAAGAGACTACAATGAACAACCATAGGCCAACAAACCAGATAACCTACAAGACATGGACAAATTCCTAGTAACATACAAGACTACCAAGACTGAATTAGAAAGAAATAGAAAATCTGAACAGACCAATAATGAGTAAAAAGATTGAATCAGGAATAAAAAGTCTCCTATCACTGAAAAGCCCAGGACTTAGCTTCACAGCTAAATTCTACCGAACATTTCAAGGAGAAATAATACCAATCCTTCTTAAACTCCCCCAAAAAGTTGAAGAAGCTCAAATAATTCCAAACTCATTACTCTGAAAGAAAGCCAGACAAGGACAGTACTAGAAAGGAAAACTATAAGCCAATATCCCAGATGATCACAGATGCAAAAATCCTCAGCAAAATACTAGGCAAACTGAATTCAATGGTACATTAAAAAGGGGCATTCACCATGCTCCAGTGACATTTATCACAGGGATACAGGATGGTTCAACATATGTAAATCAATAAATGTGATATACCATATTAACATAATGAAGTACAAAAACCATATGATCATCTCAATAGATGTTAAAAAATCATTGACAAAATCCAACATCTATTTATGATAAAAATTCTCAAAAAAAGTAGGTACAGAAGAAATGTACCTCAACACAACACAGGCCATATATATGAAAGCCCACAGCTAACCTCATAGTCAACAGTAAAAAGTTGGAAACTTTTCCTCTAGGAAGAGGAATAAAACAAGGGTGCCCACTCTTGCCACTCCTATTCAACTTAATAGTGGAAGTCCTAGCCAGAGCACATAGAAAAGAAAAAGAAATAAAAGGCATCCATATAGGAAAGGAAGAAGTAAAATTGTCTCTG